TAAGAAAAAATATTTATTTATTAATGAGACCCTCTATTTATCTAAAGGTCTCCCTCCCTTTATTTATTACTCGAGTACCTTAGAATTGGAGGTTGATACTCCAACCATTAAGCTACTAGGATTTTATGATAATAATTTACAAATAAATTATATTTATATACAAATAAATGTATATTCGTGTAAGTATATAAATATAAAATATATAAATACAAATATATTTATATGTAGGATGTGAAGGCGCGCTCAAAGGTGAAAGTGTGTGTGAGTTTTCAAAATTTTGATGTCAAATTTGTGAGTGGATCTCTTTATATGAGTTTGTAATTTAATGATAGAATATAATCTTTATAATTTATTTATATAATGATATAAAATAATAAAAAAATCTTTTATTTTATTTTATTTTAATTTATTCTTTTAATCTTTTTTTCTTCTATTATTTAATTAAAAGTCTTATATTAAAATAATTTTTTCAATATTAAAAATACTTAAATATTTATTTTGAAAATTATTTTTTAAAATTATTTAATTTAACAAATTATAATAAACTAATCTAATTATGATTAAATTAAATTATTAAATAAAAAAGTATTTAATTTTTTAATTAGGTGAATAATTAATTTATTAGAATATATTTAAAATTAAGTAATTATTATATAATTTTAAATATTTAATTTTTTTTAATTTAATGTTAATTTTTAAAAATATACTTTAAATCCATTGGTAATGTCCGTCGGTAATTAATTGTTCATTTATCGACGAGATATATCCATCGGTAAATAATTGTTCACTTACGAGCTAATTTACCGATGGATATATCTGTCATTAATTGTTCATTTATCGATGGATATATCTATCGGTAAGACTAAATTTTACAAATACTTTAAGTCAGATCGGTAATCAATCATTTTCCAACGGCTACATATTCGATCGATAATTAATAATTTTTAGTGGTGTGACCACTGAAATATTTTGTATTAAAGATTATGTATATGATGTTTTTACTGATAGTTTTAGTAATTTTATATGCTTATTAAATGGTATTATTATATATGAACTTGAGTGAACTTTTTGTTTCCCATTTGAGTATCTAAATAATGATTTAGGATCATTATTTTGAAACTCAAATTGTCCCAATTTGGATAGTTTGGGAAAAAAGTTTTCCTTGGCAAATAATTATCTAGGTAGTTGATTAAACTGTTATTTGTTATAGTTGGTAAAATTTTGATTTACTATTCGTGTCATTGTCTCTTATGCATGGTTGAATGAGGTTAATTTTACCAAATTCAAGTTGTGGACTAAGAGACTGATGCAAAATGCTACCAAAATTTTATTAAGTATTAACTTCTTGCTATTTCAGTGTCGTACTTGCATATAGAGCTGAAAGGAGGCTTCGAACGCCAAAGACAAAGATGAATCAATCAAGATGGATCAGTGTACAGGTATCAAGTGTACCCCAATTCATGTTTTCGTACATGCTTATTTCACTAGACGGTTATTCTAAACTATCTTTATGTTTTTTTGTCTACAAAGTGTCCTAAGCAAATGAACTTAGATGACTGTGGATATTACGTAGCCTTGTTCATTAGAGATGCATTGTAGCATGGACAAATTATTATTCCAGTTAACGTAAGAACCATTTTTGCTTTATGGTTATGTTTATATAAAAGAATAATGTATTGTCATTATTTATCTAATTTGGTATTTAACTTTTGTGATTCTTTTTTATCTATGTTTGTAGTATTTTCCAGAATCTTGTTTTGCTACCTTTCTAGACCTTAGAATTGAGCAATTACAAAAGGAATGGTGTGCATATTTCTACCATACATTTTTTAAGGACAAAATCAACACCATAGATTCTTACGGATTTTTTTAATCATTTCAATTATTTGATGTGTATGTACCAATTTTATTTCATGCAAATTTTAGTTTTAATTTGTCAAATTTTGAATTGTTTTTCTATGATTACTGTGAATATATATTGTGTCTTGGTTGAAATTTGTTGGATTAATTTGATATATACTCCGGAATTGTGGTATATCAGATACAGGAAAAAATGTTGGATTTTAAAATTTAAATAAAATTATTTTTTCTAAATTGGGACTTTAGATAGCAATTTCCATAACCGCTATCTAAACATTCTAAAAGAGAGTGGTTTTAGAGCTAACCGCTATTAAAAGTATATTTTAGATAGTGGTTAACGTCATTCTTTTATTAGCGCTTCATTTAATAGTGTTTTTAACTGTTATTATAGAGCATGCGGAACCGCTATTATAGAGTTGCCTCCATTTGAAGGTCTGATATTTTTTATTTATCACCTTGTGAAACTGAATGAACAAGTAAATAAATCACCATGTTGTCACATCTGTTCCAAGCTGAGAAATGTTTGTTTTTCTATGATTCTGTGAATATGTATTGTATGCTGGCTGAATTTTGTTGGATTAATTTGATATATACTCTGAAATTGTGGTCTATCAGATACAAATTATCAGGAAAAAATGTTGGATTTTAAAATTTAAATAATTTTTTTTTAATTGGGACTTTAGATAGCAATTTCCATAACCACTATCTAAACATACTAAAAGATAGCGGTTCTAGAACTAACCGCTATTAAAAGTATATTTTAGATAGTGGTTAGCGTCATTCTTTTATTACCGTTTCATTTAATAGCATTTTTAACTGTTATTATAGAGCATGTGGAATCGTTAATCAATTGCAGGTTTTTGGGCATTTCCATCACTAGTAGAAATATTTTTATTTATTTATAACCTCTCTCTATTTATCTAATTATAATATTTATCTAGAGGTTCCCCTCCCTTTTATATTATATTTTTTAGAAATTTGAATTATTATCATATTAAGAGAATTGTCATCTGGCAGGTTAGAGTTAGAGATCGATACTCCAACCACTAAGCTACTAGGATTTTACGATAATAACTTATAAATAAATTATATTTATATATATACAAATAAAAATGTATATTCATGTAAATATAAATATAAAATATAAATATATTTATATATTGGATATGAGGGTGTGTTCGAGGATGAAAGTGTGTGTCAAGTGGATTTTCAAAATTTGATGTCAAATTTGTGAGCGCGTCTGTTTATATGAGTTTATAATTTGATGACAGAATATAATCTTTATAATTTATTTATATAATGATATAAAAAAATTCTTTATTTTATATCATTATATAAATTAATTATAAAGATTATATTCTATATCATTTTATAAATAAATTATAAATATTATATTCTATCATTAAATTACAAATCTATATAAAGATATTCGCTCACAAATTTGACATCCAATTTTAAAAACTCACTTTATACACATTTTACCCTCGAGCGTGACCCTAACCTCCAACGTATAAATATGTAAATATATAACTATATAAATATATATAAATATATCAAAATATATAAATATATTTGTATTTATATATTTTATATTTATATATTTACACGGATATACATTTATTTGTATATAAATATAATTTATTTGTAAATTTTTATCAAAAAATTCTACTAACTTAGTGGTTGGAGTATTAGCATCCAGCTCTAAGATACTGATTTTGAATCTTATTAATGACAAATTTCTTAATTTGATAAAAATACTTTCTACTAGTACTTGTGTATGAATAAATTTAACATTGATCTTGACACTTAATGTAGTAAGGATTGATATGCTCTATACATAATAGTCATGATAGTCTGTAGCATCAAGAACAAGAGAAACTAAGGGAGTAGTTGGGTTTTCATTTGGGTGCAGGTATAAGAAGTTTTGCATGATTTCTTTAGCCATGAAAAAAGAAAATAAAGCAAAAGAAAGATATATAAAAAGGAAAAAGAGGGAGGAGAGGGACAGAGCTTCAAACGAAGAGCTACGATACCATATTACGAATTTAAAGATAAAAAAAGAAGCGACAATCATGAAAACTGAGATCTGGATGTTTAACATAATGTCACGCTAAGAGAAGATGCAAAAGAGAAAAAACAACCCTATTTGATATATTATATGATATATGCAAACATTACATAGTTATAGGTGAAAAAAAGATTAAAAAAAAACAACAACACGCTAAGCATCTTTATGACAAAATAAGTCAAGTGCGTCATTATAGTAGCTAAGTGATATGGCTTGTTATGTGACCATAACGTTTCTTGTTTTTGAGTTGGAAAATGAAACTTTTGACCACCCAAATCCATACATTTTATTTTTATTTTTATTAAATTAATCTATAAATTATTATATTAATAAAAATGAGTTATTTTTAATTGTTAAGAAGAAGGGACCCACTCTACATAATATTTTTCAGACGACAAATCGACACACATCAAGCATCAACTTGTTAGACTCATCGTCATCTCCCTTGGAGCCACACTAAATGACTCAAGTTGGATTGATATTAACCATAATAAAGTTGGTGGATCCGGACAAAGAAGATTTAAAGTAATAGAGAAGATCTTGTACATTTTTTTTCATAGTAAATCTCACAAGGAAATATTGACTTTAAGACATAAAATTTGAAAACGGATTTTTTATTATTATTTTACAAATTTTAAAAATTATTGTACAATAATTTGATTTTCTCTTTTGAAATCTTAATATTTTTTATATTATAATATATTTAAAATAATAGAACTTTTATTCAGTAGATGCTTAATAAGATCATCAATAAGTTGCTCGTATGTATTGATAAGTATGATATTTAATTTACATAATCAGAGAGAAATAGATTCCTCTCAGTTTTATAAGGGTTATTTTTTTATCTATCTATGGAATTATATAACTAGAAAATAACCTATAGTTCAAGCAGCAGTTTTTAAAATAAAGGCTGTCATTAAATATACAATTATTAACTATATTTTGTAAGATATATAATTGATTGAATACACAATAAATTCTATTTTTCAAAGGAGCATATTATAAATTAATTAAGAACTTTTTATATATATATAAAAAAAAAGATTTTTAATATATACCGGTAGAGTGGAAAATGCATGGCCCGTGGACACGTGGACTGCACACGTGCAGAGTGAGACCCACACGCCCTCGTTGGGTGGCTTTAAAAGACTTCTCTGCCTGCATTGTGTGGCATGTATCTCTACTCTTTCTAATTCTGTTTTCAAGATTCGGTCATCTCCGTTGCAAAATCTCATCATAGCAATTGAAGACAAGGGAAGGAAATCTTGTTCATCAATGGCAACCACCGCAGAGAATGAAGTATCTGCACTGAAACAAAAGTTGCAGGATTTGGTTAAGAGTATCGTGGACAATGATGATTACCCCGTTCAAGCCGCCAACGAGGCTATCCATGCTCTTTCTACTCTCAAGGATTTGAAATGCACCACTCCTCTCTCAACCAACTTGGATGATTCAGGCGTACCTTCGCACTATCGATGCCCTCTCTCCAATCACTTGATGTCAGATCCTGTTATATTGACCTCTGGACAGGTTTTTCTCTCTTTCACTTTCTCTTTTATGATCAAGATCCATTCTTTCTTCACTGCCTCACCATTACAAAATAAAATGTGATTCGCACGTATCAAGAACCTGTGTGATACTAGAAAGAAAGAAAGAAAAGAAGAAATATATATCATGTAATACAAAGAAAGGTGTTAAGGGCTGATAATAACAATAATAGTTTCTTTTTTAATAGAATTGATCTTCTTGAGCTTTTATTTAGACTTCTTTGCTGCTTAATTGTTTGGTGAAAGATGATTAACACGATGGAAGGAAGAAAAAGCGCGGTGGTGTTATATGGTCCTCATTGTACATTTGTACTTGTGAATTAATGTATTGATTGACGATGATGGTGCATGCAGACTTTTGATCGTCCATTCATCCAGAATTGGCTGAATCGGGTCCACGGAATGTGCCCTCAGACCCACCAAGTCCTCTCTCACGTTATTCTTACTCCTAATTTCTTGCTCCAAAGCATGATCTCAAACTGGTGCAAACTGAGCGGAGTTGACATTCCGAAGCCTGTTTTTGACATTCACGACGAACAGGTAACCGAGGCACACAGACACCGTTTGCGTTCATTGCTCTTCAAGCTGTCACTGTCAGTTTCTGAACAGAAAGAAGCTGCAAAAGAGCTTCGCCAGTTAGCAAAACAAATGTCCGGAATTCGATCACTCTTTGGGAACTTGCAAATGATTCAGCTATTGATCCGTCCGTTATCATCCGGCACAGCTTCTGTGGACACCGATCTCCAAGAGGATTTGATTTCTACTCTTCTAAATCTCACAATTAACGATGTCAACAAGAGGGTGTTCATAGAAAACGAAAGCGTCATCACCGTTCTCATTGATTCATTGAAATGCGGAACAGTTGAAACAAGAAGCAATGCAGCTGCTGCTTTTTCCTCATTATCATCTCTTGATTCAAACAAGCACATAATTGGAAAATCTGGAGCTATAAAACCCTTGGTGAATTTACTAGAGGAGGGAGACCCATTAGCCATGAAAGATGCTGGTTCAGCCTTGTTCAAACTATGTTTTGCCCGTGAAAATATAGCGAGGACCGTACGAGAAGGGGTAGTGCAGGTTATTCTTGGCAAGATCGTTGACCATGTTCTTGTTGATGAGTTGTTGTCACTGTTGGCACTTTTGGCTACACACGCTAAAGCCGTTGAAGAGTTGGTGAGTCACGGTGGTGTCCGTTTCTTGCTTGATATCTTGAGGGATAACACAGAGGAACGCATCCAGGAGAACATTGCTGTTATTCTACATCTAGTCTGTTGCCATGACAAAGAAAAAAGAGAGGAGATTAAAGAGGAAGAAATGGTCCATAGCACACTCTCTAAGCTTGAACATAACGGGTCCTCAAGGGCTAAAAGAAAAGCTAGCTCCATCCTTCAGTGTCTTGGCATAGATTATTCCACTTCGCGATACACTCAAATTTCGTGACTTTCGTCTACAACTCTAGTTCTTAATCAAATTAGGCTTAGAAAAATATGAATCACCCTTTTGTACGTAAAAGAAAACTTGTACGTAGAATAATGTACATTACGCATTAGCAATATGCCAAATGAATGATGTGTTCCATATTCTTTTCTTCCTTTTCGAAATGCTTCCGTCTCTGCCAATTTTTGCGGTTGTGGTTTAATTTCGATAGCTTCCATGTTACGTATTACGGAAGTCTGTGTAATTTTCATTCAGAAAAAAATTTAGAGGATTTCACAAGACTGTTGTTTCTGAGGAAAAAAAGAGATTTTGATCCATATAATTTTTCGTTTCATCCATTCGTTTTCTAGCTTTAAATCTTAGAAATATTATTTTCAGTCACTTTACTTTTAATCCTTATTTATTTTTAAACACGTATTATTATTTTTTAAATCACACGTAGTATTCAAAATTAAAACAAATAACATAATTAATGTAGTAGTTAGAATAGATAAGATATTATTATTTAACTGACACGTGAGAACTTCACGCATAAAATTAAAATTATTTTATCGTTTTTATTAATTGGGTGATATATCAACGAACATTAATAAACTTTATTAAATATATAATTTATAATTTGTGAACAAATCTTTGTGTTGGCTGTGAAAAAGTAAATAATGTTGAAAATATTTAGTAATTATAGAAAAAGTTAATTACAACGCTTGCGACATAAATGACGAATATAAATGGAATGAAATCATGACTTCGTGCCAACATTGAATGCGTTTTTGGTTCCCCTTAGAAAATCTCAGAGTCAGCTTAAATTATGAGTTGAAGAAAATTTTTCAAAGAATTATAATTCAGCATCTAAAATTTATTTTAATCTGATATAGTTTTTTTCTTATATAAGAAAAATTATACTGATTTTCATTAGTCAAAAGGTATACTTATAATAAAAATATTTAAAAGTAAATAACTCAAGTGGCATCCAGTGTGAAAATTTTCACCTTTTAGAATATTAAGATCGTTTGTGTTTATTACTCTACGCAGCTACTGGTCACCTAACCCTAAACCCAGCTACAGTAGGGGTCCGTTCACGCAACGTACATTTTTAAGATGCAATAACGTGATATTCAATATATTTTTAATACTATATTGTAAAACATAATATTATTTTATATTTTAATGATTTGTTTTCTTAGAAGAAACATTTGTAACTGATATAATCCTTCAATACCAGTAGAGAGTTGGTCCGTGTGAAAGGCACGGTAGGACTTAACCGTACAAAGGAATTGCAATATTATACACTCAAGACGCACTATGTCGAGAGTGATGGTAATGGTAACCCTAAACTGCTAGGGTCATCCCTCACCTCAAGACGCACTATGTCGAGAGTGGACCATGATAGTTACGGGACGACGACAAGTACAATTATACAGCTTTGCCTTCAACCATCATACTCTAATCTATTTCGATTGATCTGTTCTAATATATTATGCACTCTTCCTAACTAAGCTTAGCTTAATTCATTATTAAATATGTGGATATAAGTTATAAGTTATATATAAGAATGTATTTACATTATGTTTAATAGATAGTGCCCATAATTTTAGAGTAATAAATAATTGTTTAAGAAATTATATTTCAGAAATTTCAATCAAACATTGAATTTTGAGAATAAATTATCTAATATATAGTTCATGTAATTTGAAATCAAATTATTGATTAAATTTTTAATTAATTAGTTTAATAAAAACTATTAATAAATATCTATTTAATTTTAAAAAAAAAACCTATGTAGATACTAACTAGTTTTATATATATTTGGAAAGTATGTTTTGCACTATTTTGAAAATTACTTTATGAAAAAAGTAATCTTTAAAAATTTATATGTAAAATGAAAGTATATATGTGAGCGATTTATAGCCCAATAATACAATAAACGCAGAATGTTGTTGCTGCTAGCCGATTCAGATTTGTTTTCTTAACTTGACCACTTGAGGCCCTTTTTCATCATCGTATTGAGGCACAAAAGTATATCAAGGCCCAAGAATAATTAATAACATTTTATTTTTTATAAAGTATTAAAAAAAAGAAAAATTTCAACACGTTGACCATATATATATGGTCATGAATTGTTTTGTTTTGGCTATTTATTTAACTTATTTTTCTTGTGAAATTAATAATTTTTTAAATATGATTCAAATAAAATGAAACTAACCTAATTTGTAATAAATATTAATTATATGAAAAATGATGTGTTTTACCCTTCTAATAGATATATTTATATGTAGTAAAAAATATTTTGAAGAAACCTAAAGATGATACTATAATTTGTTAAGCCACTGCCACATATCATGGGTGGTGGCGAGTGGCAACTGCAAAAACATGTGGAAGCCTTATATATTACCTTATTTCGGCATGTTTAATACTTCAATGGCCTTTAAACTCAAAGTAATAAGAACCATTTTCTTTCTTTTTCTTTTTCGCAATTGTAGAGATCCAAGTTTGTTAATATGCACGCTTCTAGAATGTTGAAGAACCCACCTATGTGGGTAACAATACCACGTTGAAGAGCTTGTGGAGGAGTGTAGTTTGGTTAACGTCACCATCAATGAGGAAGAGAACAAGATAGAGTAGCTATTCTCCGGCGAAGGGAGGATGAAAAGAGATGAGAAAAGAAAGAGGAAAAACTAAACCCATTAATGGGAAGTCATTTCTGACAGTCACGAAGGGTTGCAAAAGAGTTTCTTGGGAAAGATGGTATTCCATGTGGTCATGGCTAAGAAAAAATCTTCGCTTAGTGACAGTGACAATGGATAGAATGAGTAGTTAATGCATCAATGCATAATCCCACCAAAGTGCCAAGAGCATGGTTCCAATAAATGAGACACGACATCACCGACACCACCACCGCCACCAATTACAACACAGTATCAGAATCATGCTAATCTCACTCCCTTCAATGTCTATTCAAAACATAAATAAAAAACCAAGATACATTCACATCTAAACCCTCATGTATCTTCACACATCACTGTCGCCATTATCAAAAGAAATCTTCCGATCAGCGTTAGATTCATAGGGATTCCATCTCAGCAATGCTCATGACACACAAGCAGTACAAGACACTTGGAAATGAACCCCATAATTTTCTTCTACAAAACCATAATAAACTAGGTCAAGAAAACCTTGACATATATATATATATATATATATATAGATATATAGATTATAAGTACTAATATACACCACAAACATGGTATTAAAATGAATTAGAAAAAATTTGATGAGGTACCCGTTTGTTGGAAGTATGGAGTAGTTCGGGAGGGATCTTATAGAGATCTTCGTCAACGGGTTTTGTAGTTCGTGGAACGGTGTCGTGCACCTGCCTGTGCTTCTTTATTCCATTTGGCTTCTTTGACTGTTCACTTACGTCGTACACTCTTCCTCTGTTGGCATTAACATGCTGGCACCTCCTTCCCTTGTTCCTCGTATCCTGCACCCACAATCACAAATTAAGTCAAACACCCTTAAAAACCGGTTTCATGGTTTGGCCACAAAGCCAAAAATGTACCGAACATGTGTTTTCAACCACCACATCAGAAACCGTCACAATTGACAACACGTAAGCGAAGTTTCAAGTGCAGGGAACTAAGGTACATCTAAAAGGCCTCCGTGTGATCATGCACGAATTTGAGGAAAATTAAGGGAACCTGTTTGCTATAATTTCGAAGGGCACGAGGATTGCTACGGAGACGAGTTTCAGCGGAGGAAGAAGTGTAACGAAGTGGACGGGGCTGTGTGGCACACTCGAAATAGCGAGTGATGGGGAACTCATTGGTGAAATCCCAGTTCCCAAACGCTGGAATGTGTGCGTCTCTCTTCCATTCCTATCATCATGAAAAACCAATCATTAGTTATAACCATTATCGGTATGATTCACTGCTAGACACGGAAGTGGTGGCTAAAAAAAGGAAGGGAAGCGAAGAAGCTCACATCCATTTTGTGGAGGTGTGTGAAACCGAAGGCAGAAAGAATAAGTCGGGAGCAAAAAGGTAAGAGAAAGTGGGGAAGGGAGGGTTTCCTGATAAAACCTCAGACAGTTCAGCGTCTGAAAAGTTAGAAGTGAAGAGGAAGAGTTTTATGGTAAAAGCCTTTTTATTCGGTTGAATTATGATGGTGACAGAGAATGAAGGGTGCAGGTGAGGGTGCCACTAACCATAACCATGTCTATGTAATAAAGGGTCTGCCCAGGGCACTGCCGTCACAGACCATTTTTTTTACCACAAATCAGTTTCTACTCAGAGAGATGTCACTTTATATATATTATTGCAGGGGATTAATAATAATAATAATATGGTTGTTGTCGTTGTTATGCGATTTTAGTTGCTTTTGCTTTTGCAAAGTGCGGTAGTTGATGTTGAGTGAAGAAGGGGGCAATTGAATGAGGAAGCAGCAAAGTACAGGTATAGGATAGGGACCCTCCATGCCCTTCTTATTCCTACTCCTATTCCTACCTAATGGCTAGAAGAGCTGGGCATTTAGTGAAGGAGGAACTGTTGCAGAAAAGTGGGTGTGTGTTACTGTGCAAGAGTATGACCAATCTGAAAAAGCTTCCAATTTGAATGTTTATGGTTGCTGCCAAACTGTCACTGTTCTCTGACTTCTCCCCACTCATTACACTCAAAAATGCCTTTGCAATGTGTTTATCAGTTTATATACTAAACACCACCAACAACAGCAACAATGTCAATAATAATAATAAAAGTTGGCAAACTTTTTCAATGGGGCCCAAGAGACCATTGATTTGATTTCATTCAGGGAATGCTGGAACCCATTCTTTAACATAGATTCGTCAAGTCAATTACTCCTTGTATTGTACCTTTCAATTCTGGGAACATGTAAGTTTCTTTTTACCTAGAGAAAATTAAAGTAAGGATTTTTATTTTTTATTTTTATGTTTATTTGTTTTCTTCGAAAGAAAGATTTAGTTGTTTTAAATTTGGATAAATTATCTTTAAATTATTTAAAATTGAAAATAATTAAAAAGGGAGGTACACTCTTATCATAATTTCTAATATATTCTCAAGGTAAATTTTAATATAGATTTATTATTATTTATTTCATAAATATCTGCAGAACATAGTACGATTTTAAAATATAGATTTAAATTAATTTCAAACATCCGATATTATCTAAATCACAATCTTACAACTAGTATTTTATATAAAATTTTATCAAGTCTATAAGCATAGTTTGTTCACAATGTAAAAAACAAATTTAAATTTAAAATAAAATCGTTAAATTTAAATTATTGGATCCTTTTCTTGTTTATTTTACTTGATAGCTTTGTTTTGATTAGGACGAGGATTTAAAAGAGAGAGAAAAAAGGAAAAATAAGGTGAAATTTTTTATTGTTTTAATTAGTAAACAAATTGTAATTGATTTTAAAAAAATAGAAAATTTTATTAATTGATATAAGTTGAAAAAAAATATGAAGTAAAATATTTTTTTATAATTTAAAATATATTACAAATTTATTTAAAGATTTATTTTAAATAATTTTAAAATATTATAATTCTAATTTAGTGATGATAGGGGAAGTGGGGACCCTTTCTTTCACTTCAAAACAAAAATCGATTAGTTTCGTAGAATTAAATTACAAATCAATATAAATTTTATATCGATTAGTGATATATAATTGAAGTATGTAAATGAAGTCTAATATAGCAAAATTCATAACATTAATTATCTTCATTATAATCCAAAAAAAATATTAAGAGAACTTATTGTCACACATATATCAAATTAGATCTTTTTTAGATAAATTTTTCATTTGTTAAAAAAAGTAAAACTAATTTAATAAGATTGTTTCATTCCAAAAGCAATCCTAGCAACCTATCATCAGTTTGGTAGGAATTCAACCCGGTATATTTTTTATATATTAAATATGTAAAATATCAAAATTTAATTTATAAAATTATAATAGAATAAACTATAATATGATGTTATTTTTATAGTGTGTTGTTTAAAAGATTAAATTTGTAATAAGATTATGGCATAAAGTATGTGAATACTTATAAATAAAGTTTCAATAATATTGACTGTAATGAAGTAATTTAATTAATGTGGAAGAGTATCAATAATTAATCAATTAAGACTTAAAAAATATATATTTTATAAAATAAAGAAATATTAAAAAATATATATTTTAAATCGGGGTTTCACATGACTCCATGATTCCAAATAATTTGTTGTAAACAGTAAGGCTTATATTGGATCTTAAGCTGGGAAAAATTAGTCAAGGTTTTTTTATTTAAGAAACGTTAAAGCATATTTTATATATTAATTATCAGTACATAGTTTATATATATATTAAAATAACAAAAAAACAATCATGTTTCTTAATTTCAGGAGCTGTTATGAGAATAGAAAAATAAAATTAGAAACTTTTTTAAAAACAAGAACTAACTAATCCACGAACAACATAATAACATGTTGTCATCTATTGTTGAAAGAGTCTGTTAGTGTATGTGTTGGTTTCATTTCATCTTTTGGCACCAATTTCAGTTGTACCGTACAGGTGCTAATCTACAGAAACAAACAAATTCGAGTATGAGAAGCCATTAATTAGTGTCGATGCAGTAGCACCAACACAAGCAAATTCCAGTGCTGGGCATAGTTTCCTAGAATCCTCGAAACTGCACAGCTAGTGTATGTTTTTGGTAGAAAATGTAGCTCCTTTATTCGTTTTTTTTTTTGCATTTGCACAAAAACTTATCTATTAAACACCCCTCTTCAGCTCACAGTGAACCTTATGAGTTTTCAACAAAGTATTTTGCTTAATTGCAAAAGGGGTTGGCTACAATCAATGCATTCAGCGGTGCTGTAGTTTTATACAATTTTATTCATTTTGCAGTGTGAAGCAACAAGACGTGGAGCCAATTGACTTCCAATTTTATTCATTTCGGTAGTGACACAAAACGTTGTTTCAGACAGCATTAATTGTAACGCATAACAACATATTGATATATAAGGTCCAGTTTTGATATAAAACAAACTGGGAACACACTTCTAATTGTAACAGTTGCCCGAGGGAGATTCATGATGTCTCTATCTAGTTGTTGAACCAAAGGTAGACAAACAATAAATAGCCTACTGAAAAAACAGATAAATATTAAGGACGCTTGATTTTGAAGAATCAGTTTTACAAAATAAAGAACCCCATATATTATCTTGTATATATAATGCTCAAACGATCGGTTGCGTAAACAACCAGACTGCGGCACAAAAATAGAAATCAACGTGTTAAGAACAAGCATGGCTGTCCACGAAGATCACAGAGGGAACCAGAGATTTGTTTATTGAGAATAAATACTTGATCCACTGCTGCTAGTGTGGTCAAAAGGGTGACCACTTACAGATCCAACGCTGCATGCACGTTCAACTAAGTGACGGCTCTCATCTTCTGACCTTCTGCTGGAGCTATGATCACTTCCTGTTGATAGCCTCATGCTGCTTCGCCCTGACAGAGACCTTTCATCTTCTGATGCCACGCTGCTGCTACGGCAGCTTGAGGAAACGCTTCCATCGTCCGATTCTTTGCTACTCTTATGGCTTGAAACTCTGCCAGAAGATTTTTTACTGCTCTTGCCTAAATCTCTGATGGAAGATTTTCTGCTGCTGCTTTTCTTGCTTGAATCTTTGGAGGAAGACTTTTTGCTGCTCTTCTGGCTTAACTCCTTCAGTGAAGATTTTTTGCTGCTCTTCTGGCTTAACTCACCCGATTTCCTACTGCTGGATGATTTACGACTCCCCTTTCTAGATACTGATCCACCTTCGCCTTCACCAGCACTACTCTTTGGGGGAGGAGCAGGTGGAGTGGAAAGGAAACTTAGAGCAGTTACAACGTCACTGATCAAAGGACGAGCGTCTGCTTCCTCCTGTAAGCACATGGATGCTATTGCAACAACTTGATTCAGATCCTTTGCTGGGAAATTCATATTAAGAAGAGGATCTGCCATTTCTGGATATCTTTTCGGATCCCTGAATAAGGGTGTTGCCTGCGCAATCACAAAAGCCCATGTAACAGACATCCTTGCATGATATGTCAAAAACACATGAAAGTGTGTCATGGAAAGCTATTGGACCATTGGCTTATAAGTTATATATAGTCAAGTGTGTTTTGTTTGGTTTCATAGTCTTTAAAAAAAAAAAAAAATTACCCATGGAACGAGATTTTGCTCTTCATTTGGTTTTGTGGTGTCAACGGCTCTTCGTCCAGTAATGAGCTCTAGCAAGACAACTCCGAAACTGTATACGTCAGATTTCAGGTTGACTTGACCTCCTTTTACGTACTCCGGAGCACAGTAACCATAGCTACCCATAATTCTTGGAGGTCCATTGCTCATCTTGTCTCCACCAGAAAGCTTTCCTATTCCAAAATCACGTAGTTTGGCATTGAAATCATTGTCCACCAAGATGCTCGACGCTTTCATGTCCCTGAATATAACTGGGGGGTTCGCACTCTCGTGCAAGTACTCTAGTCCTTTAGAAGCAGCCGCTACTATTTTCATTCTGTCAAACCAACTTAATGTTCCTTCATCCGCTTTATTCTCTGCACACAACACAAAGTGCGATATATTTTAGATTGAAGCTTATTAACTCACAAAACCAACGTAGAACATGGTACAAGTGCATAAAATTTGATGAAAGGTATCGTGTAAAAAATGAAATGGCAGTTACCAAAAAGACGCTCTTCTAGAGTGCGCCCGGAGAAATACTCGTACACCAAAAGACGTTGATCTCCATCGGCACAATAACCAATGAGACTGACCAGATTTTCATGCTGCAAGGCATTTAGTTCTGTAACATCAGCCAGGAATTCCTCTTTGCCTTGCATCCCATTTCGGTCGAGTTGCATCACGGCCACATTCTGGAGGGATCGATCCAAAGAAAACAAGTGAAGAAAACAAACATGAAATATAGAAATTATTGAGTATAGATTTTTTTTGTGCACTTCAAAAACAAAAAGTAAAAGGCTTATGACCTTGCCGGTGGTAGGAATTGTCCCTTTGTATATTCTGCCATAACCTCCTTCATCCAAGAGGCATTCCTGTCGGAAATTCTTTGTTGCCGTTGCTAGCTCACGGAATGTGAAAGCTTGAGCAGTTGTAGTTGTTGCGGCAGCAGCTGGTGGCATTGGTTCCTCAGGCTTTTGTTTCTTCACTTCAGCTGCCAATTGGAACCACGAACCACAATGTTTAAAGTCATGAATAAAATCTCTGTCATATTAAATCATCAAATCTATCGATCTTTACCTTGATCAGTTTACGTATGAATTATATAGCTTGATCAACTAAATACCAAAGAACCAACTAACTAATTAAAACAAAAATATATCCTTTACATGCATGCATAAATTACCGGGTGACTCTACTGTTGTAACCGGTTCTGGTTCCGGGGGTGGAGAACCAAGCTCCCTCTTGCTTTGGCCTTTCTTAGGTGCACAACAAGGGAAACAATTCATGCTTCTAACCTTTCAAAATATGTATATGAAATAACCAATCTCCAAGAACTGGTGCTGGAAGAATTGATAAATCCTTCTAAAAAATATTATTCAGACGCAGAGACGATGTCAAAAAGTCTCTCTCGTGTACATAAACATATATATATATATATATATATATATATATATATATATATATATATATATATATTTATGAACTATAGTGTTATTAAAATAATGAAATAATCAACGAGAATTGGCAAAATCAAAGGACAAGGGCCCCTCAAATTGAAGGACCCTGTCCTGATAAAGGTATCAGAAGCTACAAGGAGGAAAAAGAAACGAACAACGTAAGAGGAAAGGAGGATGCAGACATATATGAGAAAACAACAAGCTTATGTTAATCTAATAATGAGGCATGGAGAATGAAGAAGGGGGTTTGAAAATGAGCGTGTTCAGATGGATTCCAAAAAATGCGGAAATCAAATTTCCAGTTTTTAGGTTAAATCAGTTAAAGTCAAAGCAAATATATCCTCTGTGCCATACATTCATTCCATCCACTTGTTTTCTTTGTTTTCAATCCCTTATTTAGGTATTTTGACTTGCACCATTTCATGAGTATACGTAAGGTTGCTATTTTTTTTCTAAAGAAAAATTCTTCGACAAAAATGGTCTGTTACCAGGACTGAACCCTTCTCTTTTTAGGAAGAAGAAGAAGAAGAATAAGGACCTCTCATTTAGAAAAAAAATTATTAATTTTTATCTGGTCAATATATAACCTTATATTTTAATTTTACGTAAAAAATAATATTTCCAATTTTGTTTCTCGTGAAAACTAATTGCTACATACATTTATTTTTCTCCCGTCATAGTTTCATTTTAAATACTTTTGAATTTTTTTAATATTAAGATTCCTTTCATCATCTCAAATCAACCTAATTTGACGTAAATATTTGAGATTTTTTTTATCTAATAAATTTAACTCAATTCAATTTAATTTACTCTTTACATATTAGGTCACAAATTTTATATATATTGGACCAAAAACTCTATTTAATTCAAAATTATTAAATAATAATAATAATAAAATTATAATTATTATTTAATTTATTCTACTATTCTATTAAGTAAATATTTATTCTTAAAATATTAAATAATACCATTTTTTTTAAAATAGTATACAAAATATTTTAATTACAAAATTGAAAAAAAAATATTTTTAGGAACTTATGATTTAATTACCTCAGCTCAATTTAATAGGATTAAGGAAAGTTGGATTAAAAAATAGTGTAGAAACTGAATCAATATACAACTTATGTTTATCCATATTTGAGATTAAAATTATTTGTTAAAAAAAATATATATTAAACCAAATATTCTTTTAGATTTATGAAAAGTGTATAACACTTTTTCTCTAATATTTGAAAATATTAAAATTTAAAACTAGTCCCCGCAAGTAAAATTGATCATTAATAGATAAAATTTTAAAATTAAAATATAAAAGTAAAGTAACAATTATACTCTTGTTTTATTTATATTTGTATTAAAATTATATGTATATATAAGAAATAATCAATAAATTTAACCATAGATATCTTTATAATTATCTATTTTATGTTAAAATGATATTTTCTCGATAATTTTTTATTTTTTTATTTTTTTTGGGAAAAATTACATTAAGTGACAAAATAAATTTTTTATATCATTAATATATAATCATAAAATTTTTTTTTTTAATTTATATATAATTTAATATTTTACTTTTTACTAGAGATTCCACATAATATAATTAATTAATAAATGTATAATTTATGATAAATCATATATATATATATATATATATATATATATATATATATATATATATATATATATATATACCTAAGTTTTGTAAGATTGAACGAAACATATTTATATTTTTAACCTGATATCAGAATTTATCCTTCATTTAGTACTTCACTCAGTATCTATCTATCCTTAAAATTTAATTTCAAAATTTTCAATATGTTTATTGTGTTAGAAATCATTAAAGATGTGATGAAGTCAATTTGTAAAATTTAGTTAGATACTTTTTTTTAATAATTTTTAATTATAACTTATTTCTTATTTTTAAAAATAAAAGAATTTTATTTTAATTTTTTTTAAATACAAAGAGATAAATATAATAAACTAAAATTAATATTTATTTAAAAATAAAAAAGTTGTGTATATTATTTTGTTGTAAAATTACCGAAGATTAGTGTAAAATTTAGAATTAGAAGGAGTGGGAGTGTATTTAGTATTATCATATGCGCAAATTTCATAAAAACCTAAAATCAAAATTCTTATAATTTCAGAGAATAAATATAAAAATATGTTGATAAACATATTTGAAGGCAACTTACAGAGTAAGATATGCTCATGTCGTCAATAAGACCTGGGAATTGTTGAAAAATAATAAAGTAAAATAAAAATGAGATTATTTGTTTATTACCATGTATAATTATTTATAAAATTCTCATATATAATTAATTTCATTTAATATTTATAATAGTAATAAATTCAATTTATTTAGTTTTTGTTGAGGCATCTATATTTTAAATAAATTGATGATAATAGGGGTAGAAATAGAAAATAATATAAATACAAAATTTTGACTATACGTTTATTTGAGAAAAATATTATGAAGGAAACAAAATATTTTGTGCTAACATGGGCTAGAGTTTCATCCATGGAAAGCATAAACAATCATAACCACAAGAATTGAAATTACCATCACTTTTTTTCTAATAATTATTTTAATTTTAAAGTATATGTATACGAATCTTTTAATTTTATTTTATAATTTAAATAAAATAAAATGTATAAAAAAATTTCATCCTTTATTTTGATAAATATTTATATGTTGTCTTTAAATTAATTGAATCATTATATACTGTTATCAAATTACAAAATTACATTGTAATATCGAGGGATGAATCTTCTTAAAAGTTGGGATTATAATTTTTTCTTTAAGTTACATTAATATTTATGATTTTAACTCCTGAATTTAATGATTATTAACATTCATTAGTATTTATAATTTAACCTTCCTAAACTTATATAATTATTCCTAAACTTAAATAATTATTAAATAAACATGTTTATATATTTATAAATTAATTTGACTTATTATTATTTCATATTTTTTTATTTTTTATATTTATTTATTATTATTAATATATTATTTAAGTTTTCATATTTTTAAATTTATTTATTATTAATAATATATTATTTGATCTTTTTAAAATTTAATAGTTAAAATATGTGTATAAAGATTAAATTTAGTTTAATGTAAGATGAGAGGAAATTGTCTCCCCATATCTAAATATTATTCTCATGTTTTTGTAACTTATATTATTATTCATGATTTTGATTTCTCAAAATTTAATAATTATTAAATATACTTTTTGTATATTTATAAATTTCATCTCTCACCCTCTCATGTTCTTTTATTTATTATTTATTAATAATATATTATTTGATGAGATCAATTAGGAAGATTCATATATAAGAATCTATTAAAAAAATAAAGATATTTTATTAATTAGTTAATATTTAAAAAATATATTATAAAAAATAAAAACATTATCCATTCTATTATATATATAGTTTGAGAAAATAATTTTTATTTTTTTATTAATTATCTCATCTCAAAATGTTTTTTTATTTTATTTAAATATTTATGATAGAAAGAATGAACAAGAGTGAAGAATAAAGTAGAATATTCCTGGTAAAAATATATTTTTGTCAAAGACTATACCATAGTGTTTCTCTCCTCATAATCCCATATTCGATTTTTTTAATCTTATTATAGCTTATTGATTTATTATTATTATTATTTTAATATTTATTTAGTAATTTAAAAAATACAAATAATTGTAATCACATTTCTAAAAAATAAATCTTGAAATCAATTAACTTTTTTTAAAAAATATATGATAAAATCATACATCAAACATAAGTTATATATATATATATATATATATATATATTTAAATATACCTATCTCTGTATAATAAATTATATTGCACCAAATTAAAAAAATAATCACTTTCCTCGAAGTTTAAAATGCTATTTTTTATATTTAGTTTGTATTTAAAAAAATTACAATTCAGGAAATTATTTTCCCAATAATTTCAAGTTAAAAAAAATAAATTATTTTATTAACTAAGTTTCTCATGGAATATTAAAAAAATCAAATTGATTTATATGATTATAACATAAACGTTATATTATTTTATTATATTATTTAATATAATAAATAATAATTTTTTAATAAAAGGTCCTGATATTTTTTAATGTATATAAATACTTCTAAAATACTTAAGTTATATTTTTTTTTCAAATTTGTTCATTATTATATATAAAACAAAATGAATTCATTTTTCAAGTGAATTACAATAAATTGTATATAAATGATGTGAATTGATATTTTGTTTAATTGATAAAAATAAAAATTTATTATTATTAAAAAAATTAAAGTTAAAAATAATAATAAAATAAAATAAACAATAATAAGGAAAAAAATTATTACAAAATTATTTATTTATTTCAAACTCAACAGATCAATGATAATTTAATTATCAGTAATTTACTAGATTAAACTATTGTCGGGTTACGAGTTTAATAATTGATAATTCTAAAAAATTGCAATTTTCTGACATTAAAAGAGCCTCTTGTAGGCAACTTATTCCTTCAAAGTTTAGTTACATCCAAAGGTGGAAGCTTACAGGGTAATTAACCTTGGCTTAATTGGGAGTGGAGAAACAAGAATACAATCTCCATAACCAACCTAGGGCACAAAATAATAAAAATCAAGATTCAAATTCTTTTTTGTGCGGATATCTCTCCAAGGAAAAGGAGAAAGAAGCAGCATGTCGTTCCAAGATTTACCAGAAGATTGGCAATTCAACATATTGTCCCTCACCTCTCCTGCTGATGCAGCTAGGCTCTCCGTAGTTTCCAAGGCTTTTCGAACGGCGGCGGATTCCGACGCTGTCTGGAACCGTTTTCTCCCTTCCGATTTGTCCTCCATTATTCCCCTTTCTTCCTTCGCTTCTTTATCCAAGAAGTCTCTTTATGTCACCCTCTCCGACCATCCCGTCATCATCCAGAACTCTACCAAGGTATTATTAACTAACTAAACAACTTCACAGTGAAATTAAAGAACGGAATGGTGGTGTGTGGTGTTCCTCAGATTAATCGATTAATTAATTGATGCAGAGCTTTCAATTGGAAAAATGGACTGGGAACAAGATTTATATGCTTTCTGCTAGAGATATAGAAATTATTTGGGTTAACGAACCTCATTATTGGGAGTGGATAACCCTGCCACAATCCAGGTCAGTTTTTTATTCACTTTTTTCTTTTCCTGTTTCTTTCATTCCTCCCTTTCTGTCCATGTTCTCGTCTCATTCTAAATCCTAACATCACCATCTTTCTCCCACTTTTTCCACTCTTGTTGCTAACAAGAGACAACAAGGAAGCTTCTGCAATTCAGAATGAAACTCAAAAGTCAACACCATTTCATAATTATTGAAAAAAAAAGGGTTTATTTTATATATATTTCAGCTTCATAATATTTAAATTAATACTAGATTACATTAAATTCTTTTTTCTTTTTTCTGTTTTTCTTATTTCACCTTATATCTTTCTTTTTTGGATTGAATACTTGGTTTACTGTTACAAAATTCTTTCATAGGGTACTCGAGTTTCTGGGAATTATATATTTTAAGAATTATTATTTATAACGTGCTTAAGTTCTGTTTGACATGTAAGAAATAATACTCAAAATAGGTTTATAGATTTAAAAAAAAATAGATAATGTGTTGTTTTTATCAGAATCATTTAGTTTATTATAAAGTTAAATAATTAGCATAATTTAAAAAATGTTTTAATTTGAAAATGTAATTTCTCACTTTCCAAAAGATTTTTGTTTTTTGAAAAATTTACTAAAGAATAGTCATTCTTTTCTCTTCTCTATAAAGGAAACATGTTTTCTCAATTTTATATTATTAAAAAATTGAAAAAAATTCCTACAACTGAACTATTGATTGATTTAATAATTTATTATTAAAGTTAAAAACTTTTAAATATTTTTATATATACAATTTTAACATAGAAATAAAAAATTTGGGTTGATGATGACATCCACCACTGCTAAATGCTTTTCCATTGTTATTTTTGGCACATAAATGGATTCTTATGTTGGCAGGTTCGAAGAGGTTGCTAGGCTTCGGGCTGTGTGCTGGTTTCACCTCAGTGGGCTGATAAATCCCCGTGACTTGTCCCCAAATATTCGATATGCTGCTTTTCTTGTGTTTCAGCTGGACGATGCCCGCGGATTTGGCTACGATCCTATGGTGTTATCAGTAGGTATTTTTCGAGGCCCACGCACTTTAAAAAACGTTTGTTTGGATCCCAGCTTAGAAGATCACCAAATCGATCACAGATTCCTGGGACTGCAACGTCCTTATGAGAGAACCGATGGGTGGCTTGAGATTGAGATGGGTGAATTCTTGAATTCTGGCCTAGAAGGAGACATAATGCAGATGGAAGCCAGTGAGACGACCAGTACCTGGTGGAAGCATGGTTTCATTCTTGAAGGAATTGAAGTCAGACCAAAGTATGTCTGATCCATCCATAAGAAATAATATACTAGTCAAGCATCAGCATTATCGACTCAAAATGATTTTGGATATGATTATGGTTTCTGGTTTTTCATTTGTTGTTATGCATTCATAAGTCGATGCTCAATGTTTGATTCATAAGTTCGTGTATTCTCTAAATTTCTTCTTAAATTCGTATACTTGTTCTGTTTTAAGGTTCAATCTCATAATAATAGTCCACCAAGCTGAAATGGCAATTCGACCTAATATTTAATACAAATATAAATTTGCAGTACAGAGGAGGACTTGTTTCTGCAAATAATCGTGTCATTAATTTGATTATTTAAATCCCTTTTATCTTATCAGGTATGACCAAACTCTTACGTAGGAATTGACGTTTGCTGATTCTTATTTCAATGGATTATACATATATGATTGCTTCATTTTATATAAAATATATAGTGTCCTTTTCTTTTTGTTTTTACCATCTACAACCTGTTTATGATTCTGAAGAACTGGAAGAAGCAATTGTTCTGAGTAATCGAACGTATAAATGATAAACCCAAGCATGTATGTCTTTTTATTATATATGTTCGATAAGCACAAACAACTTTTTCAGAACTACTGAGAAATGCAAAATGTTAGGCATGAAGGTTCAAATGTTGCAGTACATCTAAAGAACCGGTTGTTACCATTTTTGGTTACATAAAGAATTCTGAGACAAAATATTTGGATGGTGTGGAATTGCAATCTTAGTGGATGACTTAAAAAAAAGTAACGAGAAAATGATATCATACATAAATATTGTATAAGAAAAATCATTTTATATTATTGGAGCAGCGATGGATTGTGAAAAACATTTTTATATTTTGTTTTTCTTCCTATTTTCCCTTTTTTACTTTGGTTTCCAAACACATCCATTGAGGGGGAGTAAGTTACTCTTTTTCTCTCATATTTGCGGGTCACCTTCATTTCATCGCTATCCGCCATGTGTTTCGCCTCGGTTACTGTGTTTTCCTGCACCTCATTTGCCAATATATATGTTGTGTACTCATAACACTGCACGTATTAATGCGAGAAATTCCAAGAGGAATACATATCTGGTGCGTTGGTGCTAGAAGGGAGAACAAAAATGGAGTTCGAGGGTTTAGCAGAAGGCTGCGTTACCACCATTCTCTCCCATACCACACCCGTTGATGCCTGCAGACTCTCCCTAGTTTCCAATCTGTTCCGTTCTGCCGCGTATTCCGATGCTGTGTGGGAACGTTTTCTTCCTGCCGATTACAGTTCCATCATTTCCCAATGCTCGCTTTCCAATTATCCTTCCAAGAAAGCCCTTTATCTTGCTCTTTCGGACCGTCCTGTCATCTTCGACAACGGTAGAAAGGTAAATACCGTTTAATTTCTCTTAAAACCTGTTCTGATGATTTGATTTAATGATTAATCGTCTGATAAGTGGAATGCAGAGCCTTCAATTGGAGAAAAAGAGTGGGAAGAAGAGTTTGATGCTTTCTGCCAGAGCTCTCGGCATTGTTTGGGGTGAGAGTGAGGATTATTGGAGCTGGACCACCCATCCCGATTCCAGGTAACCTCCTTGGTTTTTGTGTACCATTGTAATAATGACAGCTACCCATACTGCTTCTAAATCCCCATAAGATGATCATAAATAAAGACATTCCTGACATTTTTTGACTGGAGGGTAAGGTGGAGTTCTCATCTTGGTTCATGCTTGCAGTCATCATCAACTTGCTGATGTTAGTGCTTTTGGAATTCTAATGCATATTCCTGATTTTCTATACAACTCATTGTGGATGTTTTGTTTTCTCCTGACACTTTATTATCACCAATTATCCAATCCACGTAATTTCTTCCTAAACTTTTGAACAGGTTCCCAGAAGTTGTCGAACTTGAAATGGTGTGTTGGCTTGAAATTCGTGGGGTGTTAAACACCCTTACCTTGTCCCCGAATACTCAGTATGCTGCTTATTTTGTTTTCAAGACGATGGATGTCCGTGGATTTGCTAACAGTCCCGTGGAGTTAGCAGTTAATTTCTTGGGTGACCATGGTAGTACCAAAATTGTGTGTTTGGATCCAAGAGTACAATCATCAAGGAACAACAGAGTTGCGGGGTTGCAACGTCCCAATATAAGAAGTGATGGGTGGTTGGAGATTGAGATGGGAGAGTTCTTCAATACAACTTTAGAAAATGAAGTGGAGATGAGTGTCACCGAGGCAAAGGGTGGTAATTGGAAGTCTGGTCTGGTTGTTGAAGGAATAGAACTGAGGCCAAAGTATGAGAATTAAGCAACTGGGATTTCCTCTCTGTCTAACAGGGCTAATGTACAACCACTACAACCCATAAATAATATATTAATACAATGAATTGTTCTTTAATTTTATTTCGGTTTTCAAATAAACATTTCTCTTAATTTATGCTTGCATATTTTAAGCTTCAAACTTTGATCTGTTACTCTCTTCATAAAGTATGTATGATATGGTTCACAACAAGGCCAGCAAAATCTTCCCAAAGCCATTCGGTTCGGCCAGCCCCATGGACCAATATTTTTAAGCCAAAAATTTACTTTAAAAATGGCAGCTTTAACAAATATTTACTTTGAAATATCTTTTTAGTCTTTGTACAACGTTCAACATTCTTCATAAATTTCAGTTCTCAAGTAATTTTCCATCCCATCTAAATTTGTCATTTCAACATGAATCACAAGATCGCCTACGGATCAAGACTAGTCCATGAGTAAAAAATTTTAAGGTAAAAAATTTACTTTGAAAATGAGAGTTCCAGAAAGAATTTATTTTAAAAAATACCTTTATACACGTTAAAAAAGCTATTAAATTGTTTTGAGTTTTGAACATTCACAATAATTTAATTTAAATTATTATCGTACCATAATCTAACATAACTTCTTTACAAATTTTAAATCATAAAAAAATAAAAACCTAAAAAAAAAATCATAAATCTAAGTATTAAATTTATCTTCACATCTTTTATATCCATCTTTATTAAAAATTGATTCCGATGTCATCATAATAACCAGAATACTAAATATATAGTATTGTTAAAATAGGTTTAAGGGCAACCCACAAACTTAAAAACGGATTATGTTAAACAAAAAATCTATAATCTAAATTATGTCGAATTATATTTTGTTTCTAATTCATAAGTTTCTAAATAGATAAAAGGTGGAATTGATATGTAGTGTTATAAATCGGTTCATTATATGAAATACTAATTATTTAGAAAAAAAATATTTTATTAAAATATATATGATATATTTTATATATCAAATGAGTTAAAACAAAATTTAAATTAATTTTGTTAATAACACTTGAAATAAATATATTCTCTATTTAAACTATATAATTTAATTTTAGTTTTAAATTATTATCTCTATTTTTATATTAAAATTTGATAATTAAAGAAAAAACTTAAATCTTCTAAAAAAATAATTTCTCACACATCTTTCTACGTAAAATAAACATTGATTTTATAATTAATTTTAGATATATCATCTTATTGTATTTTTTTCTATTGCTAAATATAATAAAATAATTTCATTCCATTTTTATTTTTTATAAAAATTTTGAGAGAAGCAATAACATTAAAATACAATACTAGCATAACTATTTATAAAATAAAAAATCATTTATGATTATTTTTCTTTTATAAAAAATAAAAGGTTTTTTAGTTATAACTTTTATTTTATAATTTTAGCATTATTACATACTAGATATAAAAATGTAAAGTAATTAAACATCAATATTTTAAATTATTCCACAAAAATACAAAAATAATAATATTATAATTTTGTATATTTTAAAATAATTTAATAATAATAATAACAATAATAACAACAATAATAATAATTGTTATAGTGAACGACGATACATGAGATGTACCATCGGCAGTGAGTTAGTTTTTGTATCGAAAGTCTTCATGATATAGTGAATCAAGTAAACACATTCAGTTAAAGTGAACGCAGTATATTAGATGTACCAATGTGGAGGAATTCACGCTTGAGGGCGAGAATCCAAGTATGATTCTAAGTCTCATATTGTATAAGAATGAGAAAGTTGAGCAATATATAAGGAATTATGACTCATAACTCAATGCCTTAAGATTATGGGTTGAAAGTGATATTAATATCTTATGTGAGTTAGACTCACATAACTCAATGTCTTGAGATTTTGGGTTGAAAGTGGTGTCAATCTCTCATATGATCCCCTGTGAATCTCCCTCGAAATAATTATTATTTTTTTATTACATTTTTTATGTTTTTTTAAAAGGCACATAAGTGGATCAAGAGAGAAGAGTGTGTATAAAAATCTCTTAAGCGATGTAGATTTGTAAGCATAACATAAGTCCTCAGTCGAAAATAAGGGGTATGAGTGAAGTGAAATTTTACTCTCGACACGCGATGAATGTCAATGTTTTATCTAAGAACAAATGTCCGCTATGATAACATTGTTAGGGTTATGATAACATTGTTAGGATCAATTTTCACATTTACTTTTTTTCCTATGTGTTGAGAAATCATGGTTAATGCTTAAGGAGGAAGTGTACCGATATGATTCACTCATGTGACTCAATCATAAAAAAAACTCATAACTTAATATCTTAAGGTTTTAGGTAAAAATTGATGTCATATTCTTTTATACGATTGATTCATGATCTATTCATAAAAATCTTCCTCTTCTTATATCTATTGTAAATGACTAATATTATGAACACTAGAACAAGATATATTTTTTTATTTATCTCTTTTATAATTCTTTTCCTCTAATTCACTTAACTAAATAATTTATTTATTTATTTTATTTACTCACTTTTTTATTTCTCTCTTTTATAATTCTTTTCCTCTAATTCACTTAACTAAATAATTTATTTATTTATTTTATTTACTCACTTTCGTTGAAAAGAAGAGTAAGACAGAAGAAAACATAGAACAAGACAAAATTGATCCTCTTGCAGGACACGGGTCTAAGTGAAGAAGAAAAGGAAAAGGAAAGACCCACGGGTGATGTTGATTGAACGCTGTAATCACGCGTAAATATGTTAGATATTTCTTTATTATCATATATTGAATTTCCATGTAACTGTTGCCACTGACTGGACGCGTAAAGTCCTGAGATAAATAGGTGGTGTTGGTGTGAGAAGTGAGAAAAAAGATGGAGTTTGAGGGTCTACCAGAAGGCTGCATAGCCAACATTCTCTCTGGCACCACACCCATAGATGCCTGCAGGCTCTCCCTCGTTTCCAAGCTTTTCCGTTCGGCCGCGGATTCTGACGCTGTGTGGGAAAGTTTCCTTCCTTCCAATTACGGTTCCATCATATCCCAATTTCCTAACTATCCTTCCAAGAAGGCTCTTTATCTTGCACTATCGGATCATCCTGTCATTGTCGACAACGGCAGAAAGGTAAATACCATTTAACATCTCTTAAAACCTGTTCTGTTTGTTTGATTTAATGATTAATTGTTCAATATGCGGAATGCAGAGCTTTCAATTGGAGAAAAAGAATGGGAAGAAGTGTTTCATGCTTTCTGCCAGAGCTCTTACCATTACTTGGGGCGACACTGAGGAGTATTGGGGCTGGACAACCAATGCTCATTCCAGGTCTGCTCTTCCGTTTTTGTATACTAATTTTTAGTTAGATCGCAATTAGTGTCTCTGCTTGTGTAATTGGAGATGAGAGATTAGTGTATGCAAATCCTTAATGCTTGAGTGGTTGGTGGCTTTTGAGTCCATTCTAAATAAAAAGCTTTTGGTGTTTGGTCATTGGTAAAAGTTGAAATAACATACAGTGCAGTTTAGTTCAACTAAACTGGGCTCCTTCATTATTAGCACTGGGGACATTACCAAGGCCCTTGTAGCTCTTCTCTGAAAAATGAGAAAGATTTCACTACCATACCAACAGCGACATTTGGAGCTGTTTAACTCATTATTGGTAAGTGGATCTGAGCTAAACGGGGAAGATAAGATTTTTCTTTTTGTTTGACACATTTTTTCTCGTCAGATACGAATTGTTCCTATCATCTTACTGGACCCAAATCTGAAACTCTATAACAGTGAATGTGTTTAACTGTATAATACAGGAACCTGAAATTATTCCCTTCAAATATGGTTGATTTATTATCATACTTGACAATTTCTGAACCTGAAATTAGTTATGCTGTCAATTAACTGAGTACGTATCCAAGCCTCAGTCCTCACCTAGCCTCAGTCCTCACCTAGATCCACTGCATCATTCTCTGCTCAGATATTTAAAAGGCAATTCTGACTAGGATGTCCTTTTTTCTGCAACTTCATCCTTACACTTGCAGAGGTTTATGCAGTTGCTTAATAGTCCACAGGTGTAGACACTTGCAAACCCTAAATAGTTTACTATATTTGGGAAATTCACTTTCCCCTTTTTGGAAAGCAAAATAAGCAATCTACTGTGAGCGTGATTAATTCATCCGCATAGGCTGAGTGTAGGTCCTTAGCAGATGTGGAAAGTAAATTAACTTGACTGTTGTATTTCCTGCATAATTTTTTCATTTCTCCAACACTATCCCGCATTTAGTTATTGTAATAATAACAACTATCCATATTGCTTCTAAACCCTTATATTATATGATGAAGTATATAGACACTAACTGGCTTTTTTAAACGAAGATGTATGGTGAAGTTCTCATGTCTTGCAGTCATCATCCGCTTGGTTGCTTAGGATTTGTGTGGACGTAAGTTTGGAAAGTACATTTGGGAATTTTAATGCACATTCCTGAATTCCTATCCTATACACAAATGTAGAAGGAAGAAATTGTTGTTTTGGGGGTAAAACTACTTTTGAGTTCTCCCATCTAGAATCCAAACAGCTCACATACCAAAGCTCTTACTCTGTTTCGGTTTGAGAGTTTATTTATTGTTGTCGAAAATGGGAATTCACAACATTTTTCTTTGATCTTGATGGTTAGTGTTACCTGTAGCCAATCAATGTAACTGCATCGCTGACATGTTGATAAGTTTCTTATTTGTTACAACTTGTAATTAGTTAGTCACTGATTCCATTTTATAGTTAATTGATTGACATTTAGGGATTTTTAAGATCAGAGTAATGTATCTACACCTGTATAACTATGACTCGATTAATTACTCAACATTTTTCAGTTTTGTTTCAATGACTATTGTACTGATTGTGGATGTTTTGTTTTCTCTTGATACTTTAGTGTAACGGATTATTCCTATCCATGTAATTTCTTCGTAAACTTTTGAACAGGTTCCCAGAAGTTGCCGAACTTAGAATGGTG